GATCAATTTTAACAGATCAGGGTATCTGTAAAAAGATAATGCTTGACAGCAAATGAATTGAAGCTGTTTTAATTGGAATGAAGTTCCCTTGTGAGAATTTAATGTTTTTTTTTTAATTGACATTTCCAGGAATCCATCCCAGATAAGTTGAGATTTCCTTATGAAGTGCCATCCTCTCCCATCTTTTCATACTCAGAAATTGCTCCTGTTTTTGGGTTGCAGCTCAAGGCTTACTCAATTTATAATTTTACCATTCTGGTCCTCAGTCATCTTGGATGCTTTCCTGGGTGCTCCTGCTTGGCCCACCACTCCTGATATTTTCAATTGTGTTTGGCAACACAATAAAGAAGCCTGAGTTAGAAGCATAGAATTTGGAGTCAAGTGGAATTGCGGTCTAATACAGCTGCTTTCTGTTTGGGGTCAGCTCTTGGTTAGGTTATCAACTAGCCTCAGTTGTTACATCTGTCAAATGTGCACAAAAACCAGTATCTGTTTCCCAGGATGATGGTGATGGTTGAATCAGAGTCAGAGTCAGTGTTTAGCTCAAGCCAAGGATCATGCCTCTTGCAAGGATGGTGTGGAGGTGCCCAGTTGGATGGTAGCCATCTCTCTCCCTAGGACAGTCGCCAGCCCTTCTTTGTTCCTTCCCTGCTTTCCAGAGAGCACAGGGCAACAGTAGCCATAATAACAGGTATCTCTCAATATAATTGAATGTACTCTCCCATCTCAATTGAGAAAGCGGGGAGAGAGAATTTAATGAAAAGAAGCACTGGCTGTGGACAGTCCACTCACCCCAGTCTCTCCCCTTCAAGGTTCAGATGGGAATTTTAAGGAAAAGTTCAATCACTGGGTGTGTGTAGGCAGGCTCCAGTGTCCTCTGTGCCTTCATTAGCAGAGTGCTTTTTATGTCCTCTCTCCATCATGGGCTCCCAGAGCTGCAGAAAACTTCTCCACCCCACATGAGCCCTCCTCCTGCTACTGCCTCAGCCTGCTTTGCTGTGCAGCTGTGAAGTGCTGGTTCCATGGACCGGGCTCCTGGGCTTGAGTGGAAAGTGAGGCTGGTGTGAACAGAAGAAGAGGAAGGTATGGACGTTTTCTCGGAGCGGTGTCTTAGCCTATGGAATTGTTTCTGATTGTTGTCTGGCTTGACTTTAAGTGTATTCTCCTCCCACAACATTCTCCCATCAGTGGTGACATAGGCAGGAGCTCCAATCCCAAAGAAAGATGTCGGGATCACTAACCAAAGGCATGAGGACTTTGTGCAAGGAGGGCGAGTTCTTACATAGGCCTCTGGTAAATTTGGCCACTGAAGATGCCCATTTCCTCTGACCTTGGTTCATGGCCTTCCAGAGGCCTAAGAATGTCTTCTTTGGACCCGGGTGTTCCCAGGTTAGAGACACCTCCCTGATAAATCAAATTTCTCTTGTGGGGAGGGAATGGAAGTGTTATGTAGAGAGTGGAAGGAAAATGAGGGAATTCTAATAGAGACTTAAAATATATTGATTGAATCTGTTTTACAATGTAGAAGAATGATAATTTCTTTGTTGTAATTAAAAATAAATATGTATATTATTTATGTCAAATCAAAATAGCATTAGCTAGCTAACATTTATTTGAGCACTAAATCAACTACCATGAATGATTCCTTATTTTACTAAGAAATGCATACAGTCAAATTCATGGGACCTAAGAATATCATTCCATGAGTTCTGACAGAGGTGTGTGGCCAGGGAGCCAATGCTGGGTGCAGGGGCAGAGAGAAGCCGCCGACTGCGGCCTGGGAGTGTTTTGGTGTATCCTGTGGGAGAAGACAGTTTTCCATCCTTACAGGGTTATTCCAAATGAAATGATAAAGAATATTCAAGAAAGACAGTGCCACCCTCAAAGTCTAAAATTTTTGCTTTCTGGCATTTTACAGGAAAACTGTTTCCACTATTGGATACAGTCATCTAGAACTTTCCCTCATGTTCTGCCTGCCAGAGGCATCTGGAACTCTTGATTCCTATCTCCAATTCTTGAAGATAGGAATCAAGTTCTTGAAGTTCATAAAAATCTACTCATGAAGCTCACGTGCTCTAGAAGCTGGATTGTTGCATGAAGCATAGTGTTTGAGAAATCCCTCACGTTGGTGTGAGTATCCGTGGTTCATTCTTCATTACTGAGTATTATTCCATTCCATGAACAGTGAATCCACACTAATGCTGACAGGCACTTATGTTCTCTCCATTGATTTTTTTTCTAGGAGGAATAAAGCTATTGTGGACACTCTTTTTATAAACACAGATTTCCATTTTTTAGGGGTACAGATCTGGGGATGAAATTATTAAATGATAAGGTAGAAATTTTAACTCTAAGTAACTGCTAAGCAGGGTGCAGTGGTGCCCACCTGACTTAGGAGGCTGAGGTGGGAGGATCACAAGTTTGAGGTCAGTCTCAGCAATTTAGTGAGAACCTGTCTCAAAATAAAAAATAAAAAGGTCTGGGATGTAGATCAATGCTAAGAATGCCACTCCGTTCAATCCCCAGTACCCCAAACCAAAACAAAACAAAAATAACAAAAACCTGCTGAGGAAACTCCACAGTCGAGACACTGTGCCATGGACATTCTCATCCGAGAGAAACGTGGAGAAGATCCAGTGGTTCTTCAGTGTCACCAGGGCGTGGTTTCGCCGGTCTTCAATACCGTTTGTGATGCTTTAAACTAACCCATTCAATCCCCTGATGGCCCTTGGAGATAGATGTAGTTACAAACTAAGGATCCTTAATCCAAATATCTGAAATTCAAAAGGCTCCAAACTCCAAGACTTTTGAGAATTGAGCACTAACACTGCCACAAGTAGAGAATCCAATACCATGAACAGAATTATTTTAAATATGTAAAAACTCACCCTCCAGCTATGCATACAAGGTGTGTATGAAACATAAATAAATTTCTTCTTTAGACTCAGGTCTCATCCCCAAACCTCACTAGGTTTATGCAGATATTCCAAAAATTCTACAATATCTGAAATCTGAAGCATTCTGGTTCAAAGCATTGGAGATGAGGGATGCTCAACCCATACCCATGTTTTGGAGATAAGAATACCGGTGCCCAAGAATTAAGGAACTGCCTGCGTGTTACATTGCCACTGAGGGACTCCGTGATCTGTCTTTTGTGAGTGTGCATCGAACCACTACATTCTGGTACTTTGTGAACCACTACATCCTGGTACTTTGTGAACCACTACTTCTTGGT